AGACCATATTCAAACTCCATCTCTCTCTCTTGCTTCTCGGTGAGTTTACCAATCAAGGGTTTAGCTTGAGACTCTAAACACGAGTACACACTTCTTATGTGTGTGAGAGAGATGAGTTTAGTAGAGAGAGAGAGAGATGGAGTTTAAGTTTTAGGGAGAGAGATGGAGTTTAGAAAGAGAAAGACGATAATGTGAGAGTGAGAGATGGAGTTTGAGTTTTAGAGAGAGATAAAGTTTTGAGAGAGAGAAACGATGATGTGAGAGATAGAGTTTTAGAGAGAGAGAGATAGTGTCATTTCATAAGATGTTGAGATCACCAATACATGGTCAAAAGGGTTTAGGAGGTTGAAAGATAGAAAAGATGGAGTCTTTTTTTTTACAAGTAATATTTTCAATTCTTGGGTCCAATAAGATATCGAAGTTAAAAATAGGGATATTTTCCCTATAATATTTTATACTCAATATATTATTATAATAATACATATAAATATTATAATTAATAATATCTTAACTAATTATAATAATTATATAGTATGTTATATCTTTTGTTAGTATTAATATAAAGAAAAAGTTTATATAAGGTTGCGACCTTAAAATGTAGAATTACAAAGGCACCTAAAAAATCCATCTGAAAATGTTGTTTTAATTTTGAAAAAAACTATAGTTGATCATCTCGACATCGAAATGTATGATTATGAAATGAAAAAAAAATTGAATCCTAGAAATAGTACATCTTGCAATACATTATCTAGACCGTCCATTTTCAAGACTTTCATACATTTATAGATCTACTTGATTTTAACCATTTTTGGAGTTTAAAAATATATAATTAGATATGACAATAGATTTTGAGATAATCTTAAGAATTATTTTATCAAAATTATGAAAAATTTTGGAGATGCACCTTAATTGAATTGTTTAAGGTATAGAAACCACACTTAAGTAATATTGTAATATCATACTAATATATAAAGATATGATATTACTTTATAACTGTTATATTATTAATTATAATATTTGATATGTATTATTATTTTATAATATAATATTTGTATAATATTATAATTATATTATATCATTTTACATTCTATAATATAATACTATAATATTATAATTTTATGAATTATGATATTATCAAATATATTTTAATATTACTATGATAAAATCAATTATATTATATCTTACTATGATGTTATTAATTGTAATATTATTGTATTTTAATATAATAATTTTATACTGCCAAAATATATTTAGATGAGTCAAACAGGGGATTTGTTTTATACCAGGTTAATCCAGAGGCTACCCAAACAACATTATTCTTGAAGCCACGTTTTACGGATACTGAAATTTGTATACCCAGGGTTGGATGCATAACAGGGTTTGCAAATACCCGGACCAAACGAGTTAGTGATTTTAGGGAAAATGGCATAGAAAAAATATCATGTAGAAGAAGGGATTGTATACAATGAGACCCTTTGTCTTTAGTACTGGGATATCACAATTACTTACAACCATCCAATATGAAATCTGATAGTTTGGGTGTGTCCCAAAATTCGAGTTGATTTATTCTGAACTTTGAGCTCGATCAATAAAATAAATACAGCCACACAATTTCACATTTAATGATCAAGATTAATTGTGACCACCTTATACAAAAGGTAAATCGCATCATCATATACTTTCCCGGAGAGGAATTGACAATTGACTCTCCTATTTATTCTCATGTACTAACATACATTTGGAGCATTACTAATAATAATATTAATTAGGTTAGGAATCTTCTCTCCACCCCTCTGAACCTACCCCAAGAAAATCCAAGTGAGAAATAGTCAAGTAATTATGGAGTGTCTTGACACATTGTGAGAGTAGCTTGGTCATAATCAAATTCGAAAAAACATTTCAACTTTCATAAACCTCGTCTACATTTTTTTTTTCTCAAGTTTGGTATTTTTTTATCAAAATAACATTCACAGTAGTCATATTATTGTAAAACCTCTATCATTACAGTACTTTAAGTAATGTAATGTGGTAGTCATTGTGGTAATATGATTATCGTGAAAGCTATTTTGGTTTAAAAAAATATCAAAATTGAGGGAAAATTGTGTAGATGAAGTTTACAAAAAATGAGGATTTTTTTTTCCAATTAAACGAAAATTAAGGTATATTTTTTATAATTTTCCAAAAATATACTGACTAACTAACTACAATTTTGAAAACCAATTGTAGTTAAAGTTGAGTTTTAAATTTCTTTTTACGGGGATTTAGTCAGAGATATTTCTTGTCCTCTATCTTTGGGTGAGAAGTCTCAATCTGATTATTATCTCCCCATAGGAAAAGATGATACTTAAGATTTGTTATTTAATCACGGGATGCGTCAATTTTTAGCCCCCACTTAATTCATTATAAAGTATTGTAAAATTAGCTTTTTGTAAAGTTTGAAAAGTCATCTTATAGTGGTAAATCACCTGATATGGATATAACAATGTCCACTCAAAGGAGCTTATCCATTGTAAAATAAGCATGGACCCGACCCAAACTAAAAAGTCTCAAGCATGTGCTATTAGCCACCTTTTTCCAATGTGTGCCCACTTTCACACTGAAAAAAGTTCATAGTAGGTTGGCACCTTAAAACGTAGAATTAACGTGCACTTCTAAAATTTTTCGAAAAATATTATTTTGATATTGGAAAAACATCTAATTAATCATCTCAACATTGATATGTATGGATATGGAGAAAAAAAGAGCGTTCAACTCCTAAAAATAGTACATCTTGCAACATGTTATCCGAACCGTCCATTTTCAAGATTTTCATGTGCTTAGAGATCTACTTGATTTGAACCATTTTTTAGGTTAAAATTTTATAATTAGAGATAAAAATAGATTCTTGCTCCATCCTATAATTTTCAACACCAAAATTGCATCTCATGAAAAAGTTTGGATATGCACCTTAAATTGATTACTTAAGGTTGCAACCTTATGCAAACCACAGCCTTTTGTAAAAGAGTCGTAATTTCTATGATCTTGTGCTACTTTGAGAGGTTTAGATGTATCTTCGGACTTCTAACGATAAGAGAAGTTAACATGAGGGTGGACTTCTGACTAGGGGTGGGAATTGGGTTGGATTAACATGTGCTCCAAACACATCTACCCAATTGGATCCATGTTTGGACCTAGATTTTGGACCCAATAGGTCAGGTCTACATCTAGCTTAAGATCTTGTAGGATTGAAAAGATCCAGTATATATTAGTGTAAATAAATATTAATAATATTAAATAAATATAAATTATTTATTATAGTAGTTATAATTTTTGTTTCTCAACCCAAACCCAACCTGATCATTCCCACCCTTACCTCCCGCTATGATTGACCTTAAGGTGAAAGGTGAGGCTAGTACAGCATGGAGCAGGGATGGGCCTGAGATGTGGGCTAGCTGAACATTTGAGGGTGCCTTCTTAAGGCTATATAAACCCATTATGGACCCTCTGAGACATAT